AAATAGCAGTTTTTGTGTTAGAAAAAGTAGTACCAATGGAAATTAAATATGTCAGGAGAAAAACAGGGCTTCCCCTTGCTTCTGAAATTTTTCATTTTACTAATGAGGTGGGACAAAGAGTGTGGGCAGATGGGGGAGTTAAGGTATTCCTTCTGTAAGATGTGCATGAGGTCGCCGCGAGGGCTCCCTGTGCTGTGAGGTGCTTGCACGGCCAGGCTGTTAAGAGTCTAGCCTTTCCACGTTTGTCGGAGGTAACTTGTAGCTGTGGTGTGAGCTGTGGAGTTGTTGCTTTGCTGTTGGTCCCCACTGCGTGGTGATTCTGTGCAGAAGGGGTGAAGGGGTCAAGGGGTCCGCAGATGAACAGGACCTCATTTGCATGTGTGTTTCCAGGGTGACCTTCCCTTTGTGTTAAGAGCCTGTACTTAGTTAGGGTCACGCTGTGTGGTTGAGACAGAAGACATGGCTGGTTTATCCGCTGACACTTCTGTGCCCCTGGCTTTTCGGTATGTGAGGCTCTGGCCGGCGGTCCCGGGGCTGGCCAGGTGCTAGTGCCTCTGGTTGCTTGGACGGGTGAGCTTCACCCGAGGAGAGCTTTAGAGTTCTGTAAACTCTCCGCGGGAGGAAGGCCAGGAGTCGGAGAGTTAATTCTACACCGTGTGCGCAGTTAGCCTCCAGCTGTGAGCAATTTCCAGGGGACTGAGAGCGCAGAGCTTGGAAGACACTGGGTTTCCACTTCAGCATTGCAGCCTTGCTCGGAGAGGGGCTTATAGTGTGTCCAGGGACACGGGATTCCTTGTACTGTAGCTCCTGTTTGCAAAGTTGGTGAAAACACGGGAAGGTGAAGTGACATTGACATGATGACAGGTTTTTTTTTTTTTTAATGTGGGATTATTAAAAGCTGAAAGCAGCTCCCTGTGTCTGTCATGTGGGTTGAATTTTATTTGATAACAAATGAATGGTTCTGATACAAAATATTAATTACTTGAGTTTAGTATTTATTTTAAAAAAATATGTAAAGCCATAGCCCCAGAAAATTCTTGGTGTAAAATCTGATTTGAATTTTGGTAAACGATTGCTATTTAATGTTTTTAATCACCAGATTGACTTGTATGTCTCCTAAAATCTGACTGGTATATAATAAACAATCATTTAGTAAATGATCAGTTCATTATCACACTTCTCTTTATTGATAATGTATTTAAATAAAAAGATAAAGCAATATAATGTTGATATTATGACACAGCTGTTAAAGTAGCGCTGTAAACTGAGACTTTTGCAACTTTTTTCTATTTAAGGAACCTGTTGTTTTGCTAAAACTGTTAGAGACTCTTGCTTTGTGTAATAGTTTTTTTGGGAAAACTTACTTTTGTCTATCAGGAAAAGAAAAGTGTGATTACCATTTATATATCATAGACTAGGTTTGAAGAGAATCACAAATTATTAAACAAGAACTTGAAAAAGTTAAAGATTTTGGAATCATGGAAAGAGGGTATGATGGTCACAGAAGAGGAAGAATAAAGGCACAAAACTGGAAAAGAAGAGGAAATACTGCTTCATTTAAATTTTAAATCATTTAAAATTACTTTCTTAAGAGGAAAAGTGCTAGATTTCTGAACTTAATGATGGTCTTCTCCTTTTGTTTTTAAAGTATTCTACATTAAGAATTATCTGGGAGAAGTGTATTTCGGGGTCACTTATACATAGATACAGACATAAGTAACTGGTAATGCCAAATCAAAAGTTGAATTACCTTAATTCTCTATGTTATTTTGAGTCTGCAGTTACGGTCCAGATCTACGGGTGACTGGTATGTTCATGCTATGATACGGTTCTAACTGGCTTTTTAGTTGAACTGTGGTGTGAGTACACATTCTTAATAGCAGTATTTTAGGCAGCACAGGGGTGCCTATTCTCTCCTTTCACAGGCAGCAACTGCAGCCATTTCACAGGACAGTGTGCTAAGAATGTGTGTTTCTTGTTAGAATAGCATTTTTAAAAATTTGTTTCATTATGTTGTTTTTATGTTTTAAGTTCGTGTTAAAACGTGTCTGAGGATAATTACATTATTTTAGTAGAGATGTTGTTTATAACTGAGTCATAGGATTGTGTCCTGTTGTACAAACTGGAGCACATGTTCACTCTTCTGTGAACACCTGGTGTTAGGTGGTGGTGCTCAGCTGAGCAGTAGAGAGAAGGTAGGCTAGTCTTCGGGATCTAGAGCGACTCCTCGGGGAACAGTCAGCCTGCCTCTTGGCCAGGCATGTTACCAGTGAGCTTTCTCAGCAGAAGGCAAGAATCATGCCAGAGATAAAGAGCCTCTCCAGGTTTGGAGTTAGAAAACAAAACTTACCTGGAACTTTAAAATACTTGTTGGGGAAAAGTATTTTCTGATGGTGCATGATATCAAAGTCTGAGGTCTTCTTGTGCTGTGGAGAACATGTAAGGAATGACGATTCTAAAACCAGCCTGGTTGTCAGCTTTTTAAGGACATTTTCCCATAGAGACTGGGTTCAGGAATCAGTGTGTTAAAACCAGCTAAGATCAAGAGAAGCTAACACTGGAAGTAAAAGATTTGAGGATTATTTTGCACCTGACGTTTAGGTGAGCCATTGCATGTAATTCCATTTCATATCTGGAAAAAAGCCCTCTCTCAAACTTTTACCTATTTCCTCTTAATATAAGTAACTGATATCTACAACTATTTTTGGAGCATACGCTCTTTGTAATTGAAAGATAGGAAGGAGACTTGAACAAGTGTCTTGGTCTAGGTCTTGTTTGTTTTTGTAATACTTATTTTTCATGTTATCACCTCTCACTTACCAAAGGACCTGGATGAAGCCCTTGCCGTTTTGTAACTGGCAGGCTGAAATGAGCTTTTCCATGTGTCCAGGACTATCAGAGTCCATAAGCGCCCTCTTTGCTTCTGCCCCCAGTGTTCCCACTCTGTGCTGGGCCTTCCAGGGGCCTCCACTACTCCTCACCCGAGAGCTGCATGCGTTTGTACTGCCTGGGCGGCTGTGTGAATAAAACCCAGGGCAAGTGACCTGACCATTCTATCAGGCTCAGTGAGTCTGTTGCACAACTCCCCTGATGTGAAGTAGAATCTTGATACCGTAGCATATAGCATATTAAGTTCTGTTATTTTCCTAATTGAAAGTGTGTAGTGATTATGCACATATATTTTGTGTATTAGATTTGGATATCCAACAGATAACAGTTTATTGCCTTTTTAATGTCAGGTTGTGACTCCTTAAAAAAATAAAATGAAATTGTTGTAATTTTTTTGTGCATCTTTGCTCAACATAGTACTCAGTGTAAGTATTTAATAAATATTTTTCATTATTGAACAATTTAAATACCCCCAAATTGCCTTTAGTTGGCAAAAATGGGACATTGCAAATTAAGGAAATTAACTTGGAAAAGAGTAAGTGAAGTATTTTTAGTAAAGTACAAAAACTTTATTGCCTTATGCAGGTGCTTTATTTCATGTGTTCGAGCCTCCTTGTTTTATGCCCCAACCTTTTATTGTGGAAAATTCCAAAGATGCACAGAAATAGAACACGCAGCTTCAACAGCTGTAAGCTTTATTTCATGTGTGCTCTTCCAGCCCCAGATTATTGTGAGGCACGTCCTAGACATCAGATAAGTCCACCACAGACATGTCAGTGTGTTTCTCTAAAGGGCGATCAAGCCCCGTTTGTAGACAGCTCGTGGGGAGACCTAGTGCTCAGTCATTGTGTTCCCTTCTGGTGGAGCCGTACCCCAAATGGGAGCTCTGTGAGAGGGCGAGGTCGTGGAGGAGGTGGTGCCTTCCCCACCATGCACAGAGTCCCCATTGCTTCCGACTCCACGAGGGGGCAGACAGAGGAAGGGGAAAGTGAGCTGGACGGAACCTGGTTTGAGTTTCACTTTTCAGCAGTCACGTGAAGGCAGACCATTTCTGGGGTGACTTTTCAGACACAAGCAATGACTTCTTTTCTGAAGGAACTCTCAGTGCCCCTCCTTGCTCTTAAGATACAGAGTGAGATTAGATACTTATTAAGCAAAAATCTTCTAAAACATTTCCAGAGCATTGCCTGTAATGTTCTCTGTTAATGATTTAGGCTTTAATAGAAATACAGCATTTGAACTTATGTCTGATTTTTGCAACCTGTAGTTTTGTATAACCTGTTGAAGTTTCTCACTGGGCGATGAGCATGTGGCCTAATTGACATACGTCTGTGGGCACTTAGCTTGTGCAGACAGGGTGCAGCGCTGTCTCTGTGCCCATACAGCCTTCTCCTTTCTCACACCCTCAGTGACTTTGTCCGTGTCTCCAAGTGAGTTCTACTCAGACACCTGCAGGTGTGTCGTGGTGACTCTGTGGCGCGGACAGGGTTCTGTGTGAAGCAGCCAACAGTGAATGCCTGAACACTGTAAACGTTGGTTTTTAGCCTGAGATAGAGTTTATGTAAACAGATAACTTCTTTGTGTGAGGTCAAATGCTCTGATGTGTGGGACTTGTTCTCCTTCAGCACCACGTGTATTTGCTCTTACTGGGCTCTTTTTTTGTTTCCCAGAAAATGTATTTCTTTGGGGAAAATGCTGTTTTTCCAAGCAGACTGTATGAGACTTGCACTTTGTATAAGTGGTTTTAGCTGCTGTAAAATCCTGGAGGGAAGTGATGGGATAAAAATGCAGAAGTTGATTTTTCTTTTTTCTCTGCCTGTGTTTTGGCATCTGTTTTGCATTGGTTTCCTTCTGTTGCCACCACTCAGATCGCCTATCTCTGCAGCGTGACATATAATTATAATGGAACTGCTATCTGCATTCCTGTAGCATTCTTTTTTTTCCAGCACTTAATGCCTTTTATTCCTTAGCTTCAGGCAGGAATTGTGTAGCATATGTGAAGAGGCTTAAACTGTTTCCATTACATTCTTTCTGGATGGCTCCGTTATATTTAGGCTTACATTTTAGACAAAGTCGGAATGTTATTGTGGTTGACCTTGACCCCAGATCACTGGGCAGACATTATATAGCCATGTTTGAGTCCTCACAGAACGTGCTCCTGAAGCCGACGGAGTCCTGGCGGGAGGCCCTCCTGAACAGCAAGGTCATGGAGCTGTTCTTTACTGTAAGTCCTTCCCCCCTCACCCTGGCCAGAAGGGTGCCATGGGAATGCCAGCTTCTGTATTTCTCTTAAGTGAAGCAAGACAGATGGCTTTTCTCCTTCGAAGCCTTCTCTTCTAATCAGTATACTGCTTAAACAAAGATCATATGTTTTTGCTGGTTTATAAAAATGTTATATAATTAGGATGGGCTTAATGTCATAGGGCTCAAGGTGTTTGCTCTTGGGACCTCTTTACGCTCTTAAAAATTATCGAGAACCCCAAAGAGCTTCTGTTTATGTGGGTTATAGCTAATAGTATTTATATTTCCCATATTAAAAATTCAAACTGAGAACTTTAAAATATAAGTATTAATTCACCTAAAAATAGCAATATCAGACCACAACATTGTAACATAAATAACATTTCAGTGAGCAAATAGCTACATTTTTAAAAACAAATTAAACCTTTAGTGAGAAGAGTGGCATAGTTGACGTTTTTGCAGATGGTGCTGATGTCTGGCATCCTAGCCCAGCCCTCACCTCTGCTCCTTGTCCAGTTGGTTGCAGCTTTGCCATCACATTACCGACACGTAGAACGTGTGTGTGTTGGAGGCGGGGGTTGGGCAGTGGGAGTGGAGAAGGCAGGCACTGCCCTCACTGCGCTGAGTGGAGTGTTGACCTTATGACCTGGCAGAATCAAGGAAGTCCTGGGGACTGTGGGCCACACGAGAAGAGCTCCCTGGAGCAGTGCGCTTTGTTGCCAGCCATGGGCTAAGTCAGTGTTCTTGAGTAGTAGTTCACTTGGCTGAACTCCTGCTTTAAGTAGTCCTGCTTATTGTTTGCTAAATAATGAAGAAGTTAGGAACGTGTTCCCATTTTTGCCCAAGAGAGTCCCCGGTGTAATAGGCAGAAGCTGGGGAAAATACGTGTGTGTGTGTGTGAGTGATAGAGTGTGGGAGAGAGAGAGTGTGTGTGTGTGTGTGTGTGTGTGTGTGTGTGTGTGTGTTGGATGCTGGTCTGCAGATACAGTGCAAACATCCACATTAGTTATAGCAACTGGGACAAAAGTGCAAATAAAGACCAGTTAAAAAAATGATAAGCTATGTTGCTAAATCCCAACCATTAATTATAGTTTACCTTTTCATTTGTTTTAAAAATGCTAGTCATCAGCCTTACAACTGCTTGCCTATTTATACAGCATTTAAAATACTGTAGGCATATAGTATATATTAAATAAAAAGCGAGAACAAGGTTATTTGTCGCTCGGTGTACATAAAAATATTTTTCTGTGGAAATGTTCAAACTGAGTATTACCTTGCATTTTATCCTGTAAATCTGAGAAGTAATGGGTAAAAACAGTATCAGTATCAAAGGTGATTGTAACTACACTTTAACACTCTTTTGCCTGCCTCCTTGGGCAGAAATTGTTTTGATGTGGATCCAAGTTCAATTCTCTGTATTATTCATTTGACTGAAAACAGTTTTTGAAAAGGTAGAAAACTTTCTGGCAGTGCTGGAAGTGGCTCCTGGCGTGAACAGCTGTCTAGACACGGTGGCAGCTGCCCCTGTCAGCTGGGAGCCACCATGGGCAATCACTCAGCCTTGAGAATTAACCCTTTTGCTTTGTTATTTTAACAGTTTTGTGTCTGTGGTCTGTTACTTTCACGTATGCACTTTATGAACAATTTTAATTTTGTCATTTGTTAGAAAAATGTCAGTGACTAATCTTGTTTTTTTTTTTTTTAAGTTTACTTTCTAAGTTTCAATTCTGTGAATTTATTGCCTCTTTCCAGCATATTTCCACAGGTTGTCACTTTTCTCTAGGTTTGGATTGCTGCACTTGCATGTACTGTGTCACAGCCTCAAGACCTGGATGTGGCCCCTCTGGGTTCAGGAGGCTGGATGGCCTTCTGGCCCTTGCAGGTTGACGACGGATTCTCCTTTCCCTTAGGTGTTGGAGAATCCCCTCTCCTTAGTTTTTCCTTTCTGATCTTCGATGTGGTCTCTTCTTCATACTGCTTGCTGTGTGGATACTGGTGGTCCCGTCTCAGCTCTCAGCTTTGCAGCCGTGTGCGATCTCCTCGTACTTGTCTTCTGCTCATCGCCCGTCTCGCCCCACTCCTTGTCTGTGTTCAGTCCCAGAGCCTTCTGGTCCCATGCCTCACCAGGCACTTGACTAGAGACCCACAGACATCTTTGATTGCCTGTGTCTCCACAGAGCCCAGCGTCTTACTCATGAGCCTTTCTTTACTCTGTATTTCCTGTCTTGCTTCTTCACTCGCCTCTCTGGGTCTTTGGCTGGACTTAGCCTTTCTTTATCCCTCTGTTTCCCCCTATTCAGGTGTTGGATTCGGGTCTTAAGTTGTGTAACGTAGTTCAGATATGGTAGAGTTCCTGTGTGATGGAAGAAGGGCAAGAATCTACATCTTCCATAAGAATCAGTCATTGATTTATCATGCGCTTTACATGAACATGTGGTTCATGTTTCAGGAAAGATAAGCCCGAACAGTGAAGTCAGGCTCTGAGGATGGTTTATTTTATTTATTTCATGACATGGTCCACGTTGGTTATTTCTTTTGCTTCCTCGGCTTAGACCAGGGTCGAGTGACCACTTGGCTGATGAAGCAGCCCTCTGGGGCCCCAGACTATGCTGTCTGTCACATTTAAATGTTGATAAGGTTAAAAAACACAGTGATAGAAATGTAGTTACAGTCTTCAGATAAGGCGCTTGAGAATAGTTGTGTTCAGAAATTCTTGAAGTAGAGTGTATATATGCCCTTGTGCATCGTACTTTTAATCAACTTTATATAAAACACCGGATATACTTCTAAAAACACTGTGTTGCTCTGGACCAGGGAGGGCCTGGCCAGGTGAGCTGCTGGGCTTCGCAGGTCATGAGTTCTCCAAGGCAGCTTCTACTCTACCCTCTGAAGACAAGCACACAGCAAAAATGACCTGAAAGCTGTTAAGTCATGAGTTCTGTGTAATTTTCATATGTCCTGAAATACTGTATCATTCTTCAGTTTTGTTTTTCCCAGCCACATGCAAAGGTAAACACCATTCTTACCTCACAGGCCACACGGAAGCAGGCAGGAAGCCATGTCTGGCCCATGGGCTATGGGTTGCCAACCCCTTTTCTAAACAGAGAGGGTAACATGTCAGTAGATAAATTAATTTTGTGACTTGTGGTAAGTTTCTAATATTTTAAGTTTCTTAGAACCTTAAGAAGCTCAGGAATTGAAGGCTAGTGGAATCCATCTGAGAATTGGGGTTGTGTAAGTGCTCGGTGTCCCAACCCTGCACCAGTGCATACTTGGGAAACATTCTGCCTTCACATAACTTGTAAGTGATTTGTAGAGTCAGAGTGAAATAACATGAAACCCATGGAGAATAAATGTATACATTGTGACATTCAGAAAGCAGAGAGGTTTGTGTAGGGGAAAGGGGGCTGGAAAAGTGAAATGCTTGTGGAAAGTAGAAGATGGCCATAGTAAGTGTGGTGGGTTAAGACGAGAAGTTTCCTGTGAGTTCTCTGAACACGTTTTCCTGGGTGGTTTTGGTTATTAAGTCTGAGAACATTAATGACCTTCATCGGAATGCTGTATGCCAGGTGTTTCAGATAAGTATTGCAGAACTGAAGTAAAATCTAGATGAGGTTCAAAGTGAACTTAAATATAATCTAAAATTAAAAATTTTTTTAATTTGTTAATTGCAATGATGTAGCATAAAATGAGATTGGGACAACTTGTAGGCAGTCTCAGAGTTAATGGAAGACTGTTTATATGTTGTTTGAATGAGCGAGCTCCTAGGGTTGGAGGGATGTGCTGGTTTTCTGAGTGTGACTGTCTGTGTCTACCGGAGTGCCATCTGTACACTTCTGCCTGAACTTCACTAACTTTAGCAGGAGCCTGGGTGAGGCATAGTTAGCATAATACAGACGACTGTCGTCCTTGCTGTTTTTAGAAGGAGCAGTGTGCCTGACTGGCCAGCATCTGTTTCTCTCTTTGTCACAATAGGCTGGAGACAGTTCAGTTTTCACAATGTAGGTAAGCCCTCCACTGAATATTAACTGATACGTTTAAAATCATGGCCTGTAACAAGCAGTGCACTGAGGCACAATTTTCAAATTTAACTTGGGAATCAGTTTTCTAGAAATAATCAGCTGCAGTGAATTTTTCTTTCCCTTCATTTGGCGTGATAAGACACGTGACCCTTAAAAAAAGAGGAATTTATTTTTATGGATTAGCTCATCTTTCCAACAGGTACATCGAAAGATCAGAGAGGATTCTGACATGGCCCAGGACTCGCTGCAGTGCCTCGCGCAGTTGGCGTCCCTGCACGGGCCTGTCTTCCCTGATGAGGGCGCTCAGGTGGACTACCTCTCCCACTTCATCGAGGGCCTGTTGGGCACCATAAACGGGTAGGTGTCCCAGCTGGGAGCGGCCCTGACTCTCCTGCATGGTTCGTGGTGGAGGGGAAGAGAAACCAGTGATTCCCCTTAACCCTATGAAGTAGAGTTATATGTGAAGTGAACACACAGAGACGTGCCTTTGGAGTGAGTGTATGGAAACCAGTTTCCCTTGCTCCACTTAACGCTGGTGCCCACACCTTGGGTCGTAGGATCGAGATAGAAGACTCTGAGGCTGTGGGCATCTCCAGCATCATCAGCAACCTGATCACCGTGTTCCCTCGCAACGTGCTGACTGCCATCCCCCGAGAGCTGTTCTCGTCCTTCGTCAACTGCCTCACGCACCTCACCTGCTCTTTCGGGCGCAGCGCTGCACTGGAGGAAGTGGTAAGTGGCTCCTCTTATCACATGGTGTCTGTCTCACAGTGAGGGCTGCTGAGCACTGCTCACAGCGGGTCATTGTTTTAAAGGCGTGCGTTCTTGTTTACATGTGCAAATTATTTGGCGATCTGTGCTTGGAAACAGGGCTTTTAAAACATTTGTGATTAAAATCACATTCAGCTCAGTTGTGTCTGACTCTTTGTGACCCCATGGACTGCAGCACGCCAGGCTTCCCTTATTGGTCTAAGTAATTATTTTTAATTACTTTCATCTATTTCTTATAATTTTAGTTATTTATTTTTGACTGCATAGGCCTTTTCTCTACTTGTGGCAGGTGGGGGCCTCTCTCTGGTTGTGGTGCTTGGGCTTCTCATTGCAATGGCTTCTCTTGTTTGGATCCTGGGCTCTAGACCACAGGCTCAGGAGTTCTGGTGCACAGACTTGGTTGCTCTTCGGCATGTGGAATCTTCCCCTGATCAGAGATCAAACCTGTGTCTCTTGCATTGGCAGGAGGATTCTTTACCACTGAGCCACTTTAGCCCTGGTTTAAAGGTTTTAAGTTGAGATAATTTAGTACATGAATATAGGAAATGGAGTAAAATTTTTATATTAAATATTATCCTGAAAGCCCATTTTAATATTAAGCTATTTGATTAAGTTCAAAGGGTGCTGTGAGCTTTATGGTATGGTTTGACTGTATGTAATTTTAAGTGTTTCTTGAGAATTTAAAAATCTTGGGCTTACCTGAAAATTGCATAAATATAATTTGGTTCAAATAATTGTAACCCTGTTTATTTTGATTAGACTATGCTCTTGAAAATTTTTTTGGTGCTATGGTTTAACAATATACCTTAGTAAATTTTAATTTACATTAAAATGAAGACTAGTTCCAGTACTCAGAGATGTTTCTTGGTACAGATTTTAAGTGCTTATCTTCCAAGTTTTATATTTAATTTAGAAAACATGTACTAAACTTTTTGACAGCAAAGCTTTGTGTGTAATCATTACTGTGAGTAACTCCATTAATCTTGGGAAGTAATTGATTTTTTTCCCTGCAAAGTAGTTATTGTTGAAACTAATTTTTCTTTCTATGAAATGTAAATCCTTTTCAAAGATTGTAAGAGTAAGAATATTTGTGAACTTGACAGAATTTCGAGTTAAGTCCTAACAGCTGTTTTGTTGGAGATCTGGCAACATTCATGGAAGTGTTTAGTGTCCCTTTTTGGAGGTGTCAGAGCATGAAGAACCCAGATGTGGCTGTGTCTGCACCATGGGCGCCCCGTGGTTTGATGGGGAAGGATCCAGGCCAGGAAGACATTTGTGTGTTGGAAAGTGTGGGAAACACAGCTGCTTTTTAGTGTCTGTCTGTGGGTTGAGGAATCTTCTAACCATTTTACAGAGAAATTGTTGGAAGATACATAACATTTTTGGTTTGCAGATTTTTAATTTGAGCATTTATTTATTTTGCCTAGGGGACTAACAACTTGGAAAACATTGTTTCTGCCAAGGTTTGACATAGAAGTATTGGAACTCAGAGAGCCTGGCTGCCCTTGCAGAGAGTGGATGTTTATTGTGCTGTCTTCCTTTCTTTTAACAAATCGATTTCTTTTAGCCTGTTTATGACGTTTAAAAAATGGTGTTAGAAACAGTTGGTTATCCATTGAAAAAAGCAGAGGGAAAAGATTTGTCTCATGCTTTCCATGACTCATAGCAACCAAATTGGCAAGGGTTGTACTGCTTACAACACTATTGTTGGAAACAACTAGATCTACTGGCCAGGGTTTCATAAGGGAACACTCGAGTAAGGAGGCCTGGCCACCTCAGGGCAGGTGGGTGAGTCCCAGCGACACCGGCCCTTAGGAGGGCTGCTGGGTCAGTCCAGTTCTGTGAACGTTTATCTATCGCCTGCATTTCACCAGGCACTGTGTTTGATGAATATGTTCTTTAGCGTTAAGAATTTGAAAAGTCATATATGTTTCCAAAAGGAAAAAGTTAATCTAAGAGTGTAACGTTAAAAATTCTCTGAAAAGTTATAATTCAGACTATTTATTCAGAGGCCAGGAACACTGTCATATGCATGGGTGCTCTGAGTCAAATTAATTCTGTGCTGTAAGGACTGGCTAGAAAAACAAGAGAATGAATTAATTTCTATTACATATGACATTCAGAGAGTTCTCTAAATTCTTTTTTTTAATATTTGTTTGGCTGCACCTGGACTTAGTTGCAGCCCACAGGATCTTTAGTTGCAGCAGGAGAAGTTTTAGTTGCAGCTTTAGGGATCTAGTTCCCCAACCAGGTTCTGAACCTGGGCCCCCTTCATTGGGAGCGTGGAGTCTTAGCCACTGGACCACCAGGGAAGTCCCTAAATTCTTTTTAAAATGGAGAGATCATGACTTTTTATTTGTAACATTTCTGTGTTTTTTCTCTATGTTGTGATTTTTGCTTCATACGATGCTACACCTGAAAAGCCCTTTTCTAGGGGCTAGTAGTTAAGAACCTCAAGAACCCGGCTACCTGTGCTGGAGATGTAAGAGACACTGGGGTTGGGAAGATCCCTTGGAGGCTGAAATGGCAGCCCACTCCAGTATTCGTGCCTGGAGAATCCCATGGACTGGGGAGCCTGGCAGACTATAGTCCGTAGAGTCACAAAGAATGCAGTCACAGAGACACAGCTGAAGTGACTTAGCATGCATGCATACCAGAAAGAGTGTAGCAGATGAACAACGGCACAGACTGTTTTAGTTCTTTCCATCTTTAATCTTTCGTATGTCCTTGCTTGCTATTTTACACTATATATTATCTAATACATGTATTACACGTGTATTATCTGTCATTGGACTTGTGGGCTATGGCACTGCCTATAAAATTTAAACTTATTGTGAAGTATTTTGTTCATGTCAAGTAAAAACTTAAATATGTGTGTGTGTGTGTGTGTGTAAACATTTTGTGAAGAATAATAAGATGAACAGCTGTGTCCCAGCCATGCAGATATTACAGTATATCCCTGGTGCCTTCCCCCTTCCAACTACCTGGAGTTTCCCCCTGTTGTCATAAGCATGGTTTATATTGCGTAAGTTACTTCTGCCAAATGATTTTGTGTCGTGTTTGCTAATGAGCGCTGTCAGGGTGCTGGGCTGTGCTGTTGGCTCCTTTCCACCCTCTGTGACCTCGATAGTTCTTCTGTGTGCTCGCCTTCCCAAGTCCTCCTGAGAGCAGGAAAGCAGCCCCTGGCTGTGCACAGGAAACAAATGTTCAGCAGGCTTTTCATTAGAGGTGCGGCTCCATGTGAGAGCTGATGGCCCACAGCCACTTACTGTAGTCTTTATGTCTGTGAATCATAATGCTTTTCTTAACTGAGTCAGGTAACTCACGTTTATATATGAAGACAATACTCCCGGGCAAAGAGAGAGCTTCCCAGTTTTGTGAAAATGATTTGGAGTTGTCACATTGGTTTTTTGCTATTTGTAGAAAAAGGTCTGCTGGAGTTGTCTGCAGCATAGCAGCCAAATGTTAGAAGCACACTGGCACCAGGTTTTATCTGGTATACTTTTACAGTATCTGACATTAGGCACACATGCACACTTTATTTTTTTAGCAGAGTTTTAGATTCATAACAAATGGAGTGAAAATACAGTTTCTACAATGTTCTGGGCATAGTGCTTGCACATAGCACTTTCTCAATAAATGGATAATACATTTAAAATCTGTTGTTGTTGTTCAGTCGCTAAGTCATATTAAGCTTCAGCTTCAGCATCAGTCCTTCCAGTGAATATTCAGGACTGATTTCCTTTAGGATGGACTGGTTGGATCTCCTTGCAGTCCAAGGGGCTCTTAAGAGTCTTCTCCAATGCCACAATTTGAAAGCATCAATTCTTTGGTGCTCAGCCTTCTTTATGGTCCAACTTTCACATCTGTATGCGAGTACTGGAAAAACCACAGCTTTGACTAGACGGACCTTTGTTGGCAAAGTAATGTCTCTGCTTTTTAATATGCTGTCTAGGTTGATCATAGCTTTTCTTCTGGGGAGCAAGTGTCTTTTGATTTCATGGCTGCAATCACTGTCCACAGTGATTTTGGAGCCCAAGAAAATAAAGTCTGTCACTGTTTTCTTCTTTGCCCCTTCTATTTGCCATGAAGTGATGGGACCGGATTCCATGATCTTAGTTTTATTAATGTTGAATTTTAAGCCAGCTTTTTCACCCTCCTCTTTCACCCTCATCAAAAGGCTCTTTAGTTTCTCTTCACTTTCTGCCATTAGGATGGTATCATCTGCATATCTGAGGTTGCTGATATTTCTCCTGGCAGTCTTAATTCCAGCTTGTGATTCATTGAACTGAACATTTTGCACAATGTACCCTGCATGTATAAGTTAAATAAGCAGGGTGACAGTATACAACCTTGACATACTCCTTTCCCAATTTGGAATCAGTCCGTTGTTCCATGTCCAGTTCTAACTTGCTTCTTGACCTATATACAGATTTCTCAGGAGGCAGGTACGGTGGTCTGGTATTCCATCTCTTTAAGAATTTTTCACAGTTCATTGTGATCCACCCAATCAAAGGCTTTAGTGAAGTCAGTGAAGCAAAAGGATGTGTTTTTTGGAATTTCCTTTCTTTTTCTGTGATCCAGTGGATGTTGGCAATTTTGTCTCTGGTTCTTCTGTCTTTTCTATATCCAACTTGTAGGTGTGGAAATTCTCAGTTCATGTCCTGCTGAAGCCTTGCTTGGAGAAATTTTGAGCATAATCTTGCTATCATGTGAAATAAGTGCAATTGTATGGAATTTGAACATTCTTTGGCATTGCCTTTCTTTGGGATTGGAATGAAAACTGACCTTTTCCAGTCCTATGGCCACTGGTGAATTTTGCAAATTTTCTGGCATATTGAGTGTAGCACTCTTAACATCATCAACTTTTAGGATTTGAAATAGCTCAGCTGGAATTTCATCACCTCCAATAGCTTTGTTCATAGTGACGCTTCCTAAGGCCCACTTGACTTAATACTCCA